AGTATTTGGCTGGTCATTTGATATCGATTTTTCAGGTAAAATAAAACTTAAGTAGGCTTTTATGCTTTTTTACCTTATTTTGTGCTACCCATTTCTTCATATGCAACACTTCAGGCAAGACACTACCGGTGAATAGGGTTAAATGTTTAACTAATAAATATCACTAAACTTCCATAGTTAATTAACCAGAGTGCATTAAGACAATAGTTTTGTGTTAAAGGTTTTTTGAAATGTTATGTTTAAATATGCAAATTGCACCTCTAATTAAATATGCAGAAATGTGTATACATTTCCAGAACAGAAATCTGAATTCCAAAATTCTTGCCTCATTTTGTTGACATTTTTACAGAGATTTTTGATATCTCTTTTTATCACTCCATAAATCATTAAATACTGTCAACATGTTTTTAGAAATAAGGTGTTATGTTATATAAATCAGGTGAATAATATATAAACAAATCCCTTTTAAATACCTTAGATAGATAAGAATAAAACTGTAAAGGTTGGTGCATGTATGTGCTGCTGAAGTGGAGAAAAAAAACAAAAAACACTTAAATGTGTATTTTGGATTTTTTCTTTCCACAAGTCTGAAAGAAGTCATGTTATGGAATCAAAATCTCAAAAAGCAATTGTTTTACCTTCAGTGTCTTTCCCTAAAAAATACGAGAGAAAGACTACTACATGTATCTTAATTAGGGCTGCACGATAAATCGCATGCGATATTTAATGTGCATCTTGACAGTAAAGCCGGTTCTGTAATCAGCGGTAAATCTCCATCACGTGCGGGCTTTCACATTGAGTTCATATTCGCGTGATTGTTTGCACAGCTCGTCAGTGAACAACGACTCTGTGTAGTTATTGCTGTTCAATGTGAAAGCCCGCACGTGATGGAGATTTACCGCTGATTACAGAACCGGCTTTACTGTCAAGATGCACATTAAATATCGCATGCGATTTATCGTGCAGCCCTAATCTTAATGGATTACAAAAAAAGCACCACATATCACCATCACTGCCATTTCTTTAAGAACCTGAATTCAAGGGAAACCCAAGTTCCTCAAGGTTGCTAGCTTGAAGCCTATTTTAAAGCTCGTGTCTACAAGCGTGTTTCCAGCTATGCTAAAATGTCAGCTGCGGCTGTATTTTTGTGGCTTTTTCTTTGAACGATTACAGGGAGTTAAGAGATTTATTTTTATTTTAGAAACATGCTCAAAATATGACCTTAAATAACTGTCAGTCAAGACTACAGCTCTGCTCCAAAACCTAGTCAGATGTCTCTCTAGACAGCACTTTAAGATCCTGATGTGAAGCCAAGCAGTGACATTATGCTAATGATTACAGCTGATCTCAATAGAGTTTAATGCTAGCATATGCTCAGGAATCAAATAAGAACTAAAAGGACACTGCACACACAAATATTTTGTGAAACATGATATACAGTGGGGAAAAAAAGTATTTAGTCAGCCACCAATTGTGCAAGTTCTCCCACTTAAAAAGACGAGAGAGGCCTGTAATTTTCATCATAGTGAAAACTGACATTGAGGTGTAGATGTGCGAGTCTGACGCATGCACTGATAAACGCACCTATCTTATCCATTGAAGCCTCTGTGGAGAGGAAGCCCTGCATCAGGAGCTGGTCTCTGGTCTCCTCATCATCAACCTGGATCTCTGAAACCATATTACACGGCACATAGCCATGACGGCCACCCGCCTCACCCCGGTAGAAACCATCTGCGTCTTTGTCCCCGTAAACCTGCAGAGGAGAAACACTGCAATCAACTTTCTACAGGATCTTTATTAAGTTATGAAATCATTATGAACAGCAAAGTGATATTTTTTGGTATTATTTGCTAACTATAATGGTTTTGAGGGCTGGACTGGAGATGCACATTTTGTAGGCTAATGTGGGTGAGAATTTACAGTTTTTAAAGCATTTCTTTCTTTGCAGTTTAAACCCTATAAAACCTACTTCATCAAATTCATTTCTAAGACATTTAAATGATCAAAAGTTTGTTGAAAACCCGTTGCACACAATCTACTCCATGCCTTCTGTCTTCTGATTGATAGTTTAGACTATAAAAGGCCTTTTAGTTAAATGGTACAACCATCCACCTTCAACTGGTGCTTCACTTGTCTGTTTGCTTGACTTATTTTCAGAGAGTAAGCATAACTCTATACCTTTTATATTGTTAGTAATATTTCAAGATGAAGACCTACTGGACTGCTGCAACTTATTATTTTAACATTTTTCCCACGTTCAAATGTATCAAATCTGATCCTTAGGCTTTTGAAGAACGTTTATGTCTTCATCTCTCAATCATCATTGTATTGCGCTGCATTATATGTTTAGATCATTTAAATCTCATCTTACTAAAACATATTATTGGAGACACAGAGTGATGACTGATATTTATATCATTTTATGTAAGTATCTACTATACTGTTATAAAGATCTCATTGATTTACAATACATGCATCAGAATATCATACTTTTAAGCCATACTAATAAATATTAGCATCTGCACCAAATTGCATATTTCTGCTTAGTTTGGGCCTCTGAATAAAACTGAGCTGTTTTTCCTCAGACTATCAGACTATATGAGCCATAAAAGCTCAATGTATCAAAACATAAAACATACAGTATATGCAAACTTAATATAAACTGTTCCATGTCTATTATTGACTATTATTTCACATGTCGCGATTTATAGGGTTGAAAATCCCAACCTTAAATTCAGTCATACCTTGATAATCTGGCCTTCTTTAAAGGGAAGCTCTTCTTCAGCAGCATCAGGATTGGGTGACATGACTGCAGGATCATATGGGAAGAGGGCAACAAAGACTCTCACCTCATTTTCTCCAGATGCTCTGGGCTCTGCAACACCAAAGAGCAAACACAAACTTGTCAAGAAATTATTTCATAGGATATATCATGAGACTAACACATTGGTGGGTGATATGGACATTTTTGAAAAAGCTGTTGAAAAAGTTTTGTTACATTTAATGCGACTTTCCATGAGGAATGTGGAATATTACAATCAGTAAACTAATGTTTGTGGTCTCCCCGGCCTGAAAACCATAATGGTGCGGCCCAGGCATGTCCTTAAGTGAGGTAATCATACTAAAACCTCCTGATCCTAAGCCGCCATGAGCCGCTACAGAAACGTGCGCTCATGAGTCATCTGTACAGAGCGAGAATGACAGGAAGAGAGAAAGACACACAAACGACTATTTAGATAACAAAAAAAACTTTTGTGAATTTCAATAATGTTGTCATGGAAGAGATTAAAACTAAATAATATAAACAACCCTAAACAAAGATCCATATTATATTTAATAAAACCAACCCAGTTCTGATTCTCAATGTTGATTGGTCAGGCTAATATTTCCCATAATGTGTTAAAAATCACAATTTAGCACCATGTCTCAATTAAGAAACTGTGCTGAACAATCGATTACTATACGAACTGATATAAAAAGCATCACTGTAAGTCAGACTCAGAAATGGATAAAAGTGTCTACTAAATAAGTCAATGCAACTGCACAAATGAAGTTACATGTGTAAATAAATGGAAAGCAAGCACAAATGCTCCAAAACACCACCCATAATTTTCCTGTGCTATTTATACATGCATGCAATACAGCACTCCAGTTCTGTACATTGCAGTCTGAAAGCAACACTCAAGCATCTGTCAGGGTCATTAGGTCAAAGGTCTGCACTCTGAAGCCATCAGGATCAATTTCCTGTTTCTAGATGGGTTGGATGAGGACTATAGTGTAAAACAGAGATGCATAATCAGTGGTGCTAATAGGTGTCTGTTATGTTTGTGTTAAGCTCCAGCAATGAGATGTGCTCATCTCATTAGTGAGGATCAAGACCATCTGTAGCAACAATCAAGGGCAGAGCAAAGAAAAGAGGACATTTCACAACCTCTGTGGGTCATATTTGAGTGCAAATATAAAGAAAAAGGGGCTACTTTCGGGAAAACCATCTTGCCCTCAAAGACAAAAACAAAAAATATACTAAATATTTTTTTAATTGTAAACGTGCTAGGCTACAAAGTGTGAGTATTCTGGGATGTGGTCAAATGTTGTCCACTTCCAAATTTCTGTGGTTACTTTATAATACTTTATATTACTTGACTGTCCATAAATGCAAATCTATGGGCTTTCAGTAAAATACATTTTATGTCTGATCACTTAGAAAAGTAACAGCACTCCTCAACAAGCCAGTTCTGAATATATTACATGCCAAACTTCAATACATTCTGTTACAGGTTTGATCGTATAACTAACTCTAAGAATAAGCAGTGTAACCCTGATTAGTTTTATTTAAGCACGACAGAAGTTTGAGTTTAGACTAGGCTAGATACACATGCTGGTTTGGTTGAAACTAAGTTTGGAGAAGAACAGTTAAGGGCAGTTTAAAGTTGGGTGGGTGGGCAGGACTCTGAAATGGATAAATGAGAGAGAGAAAAGGATGTGATCTAAATTAGAGCTGAACACAGCTCACGTTGAGAGAGAGAGAGAAGGAAGTGAGACAGTCTCACCTCTATGTAGTCTAATTTCAGAGCGTGGCGATTTTGGAGTGACATCGCACCACATTGCACCTGGATCTGCCAACGATGCTTCTCTTCCACCTGCCTCCTGGTTTGAGAGAAACAAACAGTTAGATAACGTCACATGGGATACAGCCACGAACATCACGGTAACACTTCAGATTAGTGAACACGTATTCACTATTAACTAAGAGTTTTTCCTCAATAAACTTCTAATTTGCTGCTTACTGATAGTAAGCAAGGTAGTTGTTTGTAATAGGTATGTTTAGGATTAAGGGATCTAGAATATTGTCATGTAAAATAAGGCATTAATAAGTCCTTTATAAATAGTAATAAACAGCTAATATGTGAGTAAAATGCAGGCTAATAACCAACAAGTTAATAGTGAATAGTGTTCCCTAATCTAACATGTTAATAACATCAGAGTGGAACAACTGTAACATCACACAATATGCATGTAATACCATAATGGACACTAGGGGCCACAGACTAGAACAATCGCTTAGGAGCCACTTCCTTCTAATAAAACATTCTTTAATTTTGACAAATTACAGAATCAGAACCGTGCATATTAAATGAATTGCCAAGCTAGCATTTGGAACATTTGCTGTACACAATGTTCCTTTGTGCAGCTTACTTTGCTTGGTTTGCTACCCGAGAACCAAAATGCCTGAAACACTGTCAACTATATTCAAGAGCTTCTAGCTATGTACAATGGACTGCAATTGCACTGGCTAAACATTAATATCTGTGTTTGTGCACCTTCCTAGGGTATATGAAGAAGCCACATATCAAAACGATATGAAGTTCTGGCATCTTAGGCTAATTGCAAATAGATTTGAAATCACTGTTGCAAGCTCTTTTGTACTGAATTAGCAATTAGCCTGGAGCCCTGAAATACACACACACACACAAGTCAAAAAAGCCATTGCTCAAGCGACATTTGATTCCAGATCAACAGAAGCAGCACTTGGGGTTGTTCTTCGTAGCAACACAGTGGAATTATGGGAACAAACAGGAGATCCCTGTGCAAGCACAACATCCAGTTTCATACAGTCCAGTCTCTACTTTAACTGCTCAAGCAGTCTCTGGACAACCTTGAACAATATGTGGCTTAAGAAGCATCCCATTTGTATCAAGCAAAAGAGATGCACTAGAGCAAGTAAACTTATTGAGCGATAATGCACAGCCACAGTCTTAGTACAGCAATGTTCTAACTGAACACTGGGAAGAATAAGACGTAGGACAAAAGCATAGAGCAGTGCTGCCAGCTACACAACTACAAATACGAAGATGACTTGACTAGAGACTGAGAGAAAGGGTGTAGGGTACACAAGGAGTGAGATGTACAGGCTTAAACCTTTTGCATCCACAGTAAAATTAGAGTTGGAGAGTCATTGACCATATATTACATGCCAAACTTCAATACATTCTGTTACAGGTTTGATCGTATAACTAACTCTAAGAATAAGCAGTGTAACCCTGATTAGTTTTATTTAAGCACGACAGAAGTTTGAGTTTAGACTAGGCTAGATACACATGCTGGTTTGGTTGAAACTAAGTTTGGAGAAGAACAGTTAAGGGCAGTTTAAAGTTGGGTGGGTGGGCAGGACTCTGAAATGGATAAATGAGAGAGAGAAAAGGATGTGATCTAAATTAGAGCTGAACACAGTTCACGTTGAGAGAGAGAGAAGGAAGTGAGACAGTCTCACCTCTATGTAGTCTAATTTCAGAGCGTGGCGATTTTGGAGTGACATCGCACCACATTGCACCTGGATCTGCCAACGATGCTTCTCTTCCACCTGCCTCCTGGTTTGAGAGAAACAAACAGTTAGATAATGTCACATGGGATACAGCCACGAACATCACGGTAACACTTCAGATTAGTGAACACGTATTCACTATTAACTAAGAGTTTTTCCTCAATAAACTTCTAATTTGCTGCTTACTGATAGTAAGCAAGGTAGTTGTTTGTCATAGGTATGTTTAGGATTAAGGGATCTAGAATATTGTCATGTAAAATAAGGCATTAATAAGTCCTTTATAAATAGTAATAAACAGCTAATATGTGAGTAAAATGCAGGCTAATAACCAACAAGTTAATAGTGAATAGTGTTCCCTAATCTAACATGTTAATAACATCAGAGTGGAACAACTGTAACATCACACAATATGCATGTAATACCATAATGGACACTAGGGGCCACAGACTAGAACAATCGCTTAGGAGCCACTTCCTTCTAATAAAACATTCTTTAATTTTGACAAATTACAGAATCAGAACCGTGCATATTAAATGAATTGCCAAGCTAGCATTTGGAACATTTGCTGTACACAATGTTCCTTTGTGCAGCTTACTTTGCTTGGTTTGCTACCCGAGAACCAAAATGCCTGAAACACTGTCAACTATATTCAAGAGCTTCTAGCTATGTACAATGGACTGCAATTGCACTGGCTAAACATTAATATCTGTGTTTGTGCACCTTCCTAGGGTATATGAAGAAGCCACATATCAAAACGATATGAAGTTCTGGCATCTTAGGCTAATTATAATTTTTTTTATAATTATAAAATAGATTTGAAATCACTGTTGCAAGCTCTTTTGTACTGAATTAGCAATTAGCCTGGAGCCCTGAAATACACACACACACACACAAGTCAGAAAAGCCATTGCTCAAGCGACATTTGATTCCAGATCAACAGAAGCAGCACTTGGGGTTGTTCTTCGATGCAACAGTGCAATTATGGGAACAGAGGAGATCCCTGTGCAAGCACAACATACAGTTTCATACAGCACTTCGGTGTTGTCCAATCTCTACTTTAACTGCTCAAGCAGTCCCTGGACAACCTTGACAATATGTGGGTCAATAAGCATCCCATTTGTGTCAAGGAAAGGAGATGCACCAGAGCAAGAAAACCTATTGAGGGATAATGCACAGCCACGGTCTTAGAACAGCAATGTTCTAACTGAACACTGGGAAGAATAAGACGTAGGACAAAAGCATAGAGCAGTGCTGCCAGCTACACAACTACAAATACGAAGATGACTTGACTAGAGACTGAGAGAAAGGGTGTAGGGTACACAAGGAGTGAGATGTACAGGCTTAAACCTTTTGCATCCACAGTAAAATTAGAGTTGGAGAGTCATTGACCACTTGGTGGAATCCCATATGGCACAGTAGCCGCTGTATGTGGTAAATTAATGCATTTTAAACGTTAGCTCCATGTAGAGTTGGAAATAGAGAACCACTTCTTATTCAAAACTGATGTTTTGTTTTTGTCTTTCAGTTCCATTAACAGTTTAGGAACATTTGCATTCTTCCTGGACAACTTAACATGAAATATACATACAGGAATGCCATAATATTGTCTATTCCATAAGGATTGTAAATGAAAATGTTAAGTAGAACTGGAACCTGAATTGCATAATTCCTTAAGATTGTCATCATTAACTCCAACAATACCCATTAAGCCAGGGGTTCTCAACTCTGGCCCTCGAGGTCCTCTTTCCTGTAGATTTTAGCTCCAATCTTAATCAAACACACTTGAACCACCTGATAAAGGTCTTCAGAATTACAGACAAGTGAGTTTGATCAGTGTTGGAGCTAAACTCTGCAGAAAGTGGATATTGAGGGCCAGAATTGAGACCCCTAGTTCTAAACCTTCCAACTATGATACAACAAGTCGGACAAATTAAGCTACAGTGAACCGTTAAGTATAGCAACTGATTTGGGTGCAAACTTGGTCATTTTTGCTTTTAGGACGCAAAAGGTTTCAGCCATCTCCTAAAGGGATGGACAGGTTCTCAAAGAGAGCTTCTCAAGGGATAGATGGCTGTGGTACAACAGGAGACAGATGGACAGATGACAACCCACCCATGAGCAGCTGCTTTGGGGCAGCTCTGGCTGGGGTCTGCATGTCAGGGGGTCTGGCCATTATGCAAAACTACTGTTTGCAATATAGTCATACAGAACACTGTTATAATACTTTTATGGTGCTTCATCCCTTATGGATCTTGATAGCATAAATCCCCAGCAGCGCGGACATTCTTCTAAACATCTCCTTTTGCATTACACAGAATAAAGAAACTGGAACAACACATGGGTAAACGATGACAACATTTTCATTTTTGGCTCTTAAAGCATATAGTTTATGCTAATTACTTATTATTTACACATACAGTAGTGACTAAAACTGTAGACAAGTAGATTTTTAGTTTAAACTCACCGTTGAGTTAGTACGTGAGGTACATAGTGACAGTGCCTCTTGTGTTGGCATTGGTGCAGCTGGTGTTGGGTTTGCCCAGGCTTCTACATAGGAAGCAGGAGATGGAGACTCCTCACGTGTGGTTGCATTGGGTCAAAAGTAATCTGATAACGTAACTATACTTGCACAGCATTACCCCCAACACTGCTCATAATACATGTTCCTAGTCTTGTTGTGAACATCATCAGTGAATCTTTGCATCTAGGGTTGGGCCGATAGACGATATTTTATGTACTGTAATGTAACAGGCAACTGTTAGCAATCGTTATTTGTTTTCCGTGCCTTTCTGAATACAGATTCACGCTTCGGGCACACCCCCTAACTCCAATCCCCCCCTAGGCCTGGGCGATAAAACGGTATCGGTATTTATCGACGGTACACCTTCATCGATAACGATAGAATAAAATGTTCGATACAGCGCACGATATAGGCACGTGCTATGAGTGATGCAGACAGCCCACGATCACATGCTGAAATGAGTGCTGTGCCTGCCTGTGATGAGGAGATTGTGAATAAAGGATGAATATTAGTCGAATTTAAAATAAATTTTTTTTATTTGAATGCAAAAACGGTGCAATCGAAAGTTATGTGTGCATCCGGGAGCCTTATCAGTGGCGCAGAAGATGCGGTGATAATGATGTAAGTGACATTGTTGCATTTTAATGTTTTGTTAGTCTAGCCCACGAGACGCGCCGCTGCTGCGTTATGCATTCAAAACATTAGAGAAATATAGTAGCTCAATGCGGAGAATACCTTAATTAGGTTAAAACCGAGACCAAGCCATTCACACAGAACGCATATTCAGCGCATTTTTTAGACGGACAAATATGACTGCTGCACTCACGTCTCACACAAGAGATGTAGCCATGCAAAGCTAAAAAAGTTTCAACTTTTAGAAAACACGTCACGAATTTGTGAAGGTTTATTCCATTTCAAGGCGTCTCGTATGTTTTTAAATGCAATCTGTGTGAATGGCGCTTCGATTCTTTGGATTAAGCAATGCATAAATACATGATGCTGTTTTGTTCATAATTGTTTATGCAATTTACGAAATTATATTTGATTTATATATGTTAATTTAGACGTTATGCACTTTTTTTATAGACAGTTGTTATTTCATTGCATTGAATAAACAATTTAATGCGCTGCATTATTTAGCTCATTGCGCCCTCGAGAGACAAGACAAAAGTTTCCTTAAGACTTATTTAATCTGCATATAAATAAAACATAGATATTTGTTTACATTTTATTTTGTGTTTGACTGTTAAAACAAAAAATATATATTTGTTGTCTTAATAAATTAATAAATTGTAGTCGTGTTTTTATTAGTCATGTTGAATTAATGAATGCAGTTTCATCTGTTTATTCAGCTACAGCTATAAGGATTTCCTGGAACGAGGTGTTTCACCTTTCTTCTGTGGGGCATATTTGGTGTTTCAGTGCAAGAGCGCTATCTGGCCTACGGATGGAGCAGTATCTACTACTGATCACCCTGCTCCACTGACAAGCTGCGCATTAAAAAAATTGCAACTTTTGCCTAATCACGATTGCAGTTTAATTTCTATTAATTGTGCAGCAAGTGGACTTTTCAGAAGAATTCTTTGGTTCACCTTCTTCTTGTCAGCGTAGATGGTGTAGCCAGTGACTCGTACACCATTGGACGTCCCAGCAGCATCTATAGTAACGGGCAGCCAGCTGATCTGAGCTATTCCCGGAGAAGGGCCCTGCTCCAACTGCACATCCAGAGGAGCATCAGGAGGACCTGGAGGACAAGGGTAAAGGTCAAATCAAAGGATGTTGAAGTTAACATTAGATCAAAAAGGACTCTTACTCAGTGTTGGGGAAAGTTACTTTTATAAGTAATGCATTACAATACTGCGTTACTCCCTAAAAAAGTAACTAATTACGTTAGTAAGTTATTTTTTATGGAAATAATGCATTTCATTACTTTTGAGTTTTAATATAAAAAAGTTATTCTTTTACAAATGTAAACCCTTCTCACAACAAAAGTTAAATGAATACGCCTTAGGCTGAAGGAAATGTAAATTCAGGTCTTTACAGTAGAGGGCGCAGCTCAAACAAATTGCATGAAGAATGACACAGGAGAAGAAAGTTCAACACTATTTAGCAATAACAAAAATGAAACGATAACAAAAATGAAACACAAATGTGTCATTTTTGCTTAGTATGGTTGTATGGTAGTATTGTTTTTATTCATTTAGAGGAATACTGAATCTGGTTTTGTGCAGGTGAGATGAGTAAAGACTAGAACTACAGTAACATCATGTTCACACACAACACCTCTGCACTTACTCCCGATTTCTCTTAACATGGCAACAAGACGAGCTGTCAGTCAAGACATGGGAAACAAAGTAACTGGTGTTACTTACTTGAAAAAGTAACTCAGATATTTCCTTCTAAATTAAAAAGTAATGCGTTACTTTACTAGTTACTTACAAAAGTAATCTGATAACGTAACTATACTTGCACAGCATTACCCCCAACACTGCTCATAATACATGTTCCTAGTCTTGTTGTGAACATCATCAGTGAATCTTTGCATCTAGGGTTGGGCCGATAGACGATATTTTATGTACTGTAATGTAACAGGCAACTGTTAGCAATCGTTATTTGTTTTCCGTGCCTTTCTGAATACAGATTCACGCTTCGGGCACACCCCCTAACTCCAATCCCCCCCTAGGCCTGGGCGATAAAACGGTATCGGTATTTATCGACGGTACACCTTCATCGATAACGATAGAATAAAATGTTCGATACAGCGCACGATATAGGCACGTGCTATGAGTGATGCAGACAGCCCACGATCACATGCTGAAATGAGTGCTGTGCCTGCCTGTGATGAGGAGATTGTGAATAAAGGATGAATATTAGTCGAATTTAAAATAAAAATTTTTTATTTGAATGCAAAAACGGTGCAATCGAAAGTTATGTGTGCATCCGGGAGCCTTATCAGTGGCGCAGAAGATGCGGTGATAATGATGTAAGTGACATTGTTGCATTTTAATGTTTTGTTAGTCTAGCCCACGAGACGCGCCGCTGCTGCGTTATGCATTCAAAACATTAGAGAAATATAGTAGCTCAATGCGGAGAATACCTTAATTAGGTTAAAACCGAGACCAAGCCATTCACACAGAACGCATATTCAGCGCATTTTTTAGACGGACAAATATGACTGCTGCACTCACGTCTCACACAAGAGATGTAGCCATGCAAAGCTAAAAAAGTTTCAACTTTTAGAAAACACGTCACGAATTTGTGAAGGTTTATTCCATTTCAAGGCGTCTCGTATGTTTTTAAATGCAATCTGTGTGAATGGCGCTTCGATTCTTTGGATTAAGCAATGCATAAATACATGATGCTGTTTTGTTCATAATTGTTTATGCAATTTACGAAATTATATTTGATTTATATATGTTAATTTAGACGTTATGCACTTTTTTTATAGACAGTTGTTATTTCATTGCATTGAATAAACAATTTAATGCGCTGCATTATTTAGCTCATTGCGCCCTCGAGAGACAAGACAAAAGTTTCCTTAAGACTTATTTAATCTGCATATAAAACATAAGAAAGGAGATATTTGTTTACATTTTATTTTGTGTTTGACTGTTAAAACAAAAAATATATATTTGTTGTCTTAATAAATTGGGTAAATTAAAAATACAGTGATTAAATTAAAAATAAAATCTATTGCTCTTTGTTTTAAAAAGGGTTATAAAAAATGTTAATAATTATCGATACCAACCGATATGAAACATTATATCGTTGATACATTTTTTAGCTATATCACCCATCCCTATGTTACACTGTAGACATTGTACAATGCCAATTTTGTAGACATCGCCCAACCCTATTTGCATCTCACCTGCAGTCTGGGTTGTGAAAGAGGTCACTGCGGTTTTGCGTTCTCGGCACTCCGGCGGTAGTTCCCAGGCTGTGCGGTGCGGCCTGGCCTCCACTTTAACGTTGTAATGCATGTTGGGTGTGAGGTTGCTGAGGCACAGTGAATAGCATCCCGCCTTTACCAGCTCACTCTCCTCGTCGTTTAAAGACCCAATGTGCACATAGTTACTGTTGCTAGGCACCCAGGTTAGGCTTTGTTAGTCTAGCCCACGAGACGCGCCGCTGCTGCGTTATGCATTCAAAACATTAGAGAAATATAGTAGCTCAATGCGGAGAATACCTTAATTAGGTTAAAACCGAGACCAAGCCATTCACACAGAACGCATATTCAGCGCATTTTTTAGACGGACAAATATGACTGCTGCACTCACGTCTCACACAAGAGATGTAGCCATGCAAAGCTAAAAAAGTTTCAACTTTTAGAAAACACGTCACGAATTTGTGAAGGTTTATTCCATTTCAAGGCGTCTCGTATGTTTTTAAATGCAATCTGTGTGAATGGCGCTTCGATTCTTTGGATTAAGCAATGCATAAATACATGATGCTGTTTTGTTCATAATTGTTTATGCAATTTACGAAATTATATTTGATTTATATATGTTAATTTAGACGTTATGCACTTTTTTTATAGACAGTTGTTATTTCATTGCATTGAATAAACAATTTAATGCGCTGCATTATTTAGCTCATTGCGCCCTCGAGAGACAAGACAAAAGTTTCCTTAAGACTTATTTAATCTGCATATAAAACATAAGAAAGGAGATATTTGTTTACATTTTATTTTGTGTTTGACTGTTAAAACAAAAAATATATATTTGTTGTCTTAATAAATTGGGTAAATTAAAAATACAGTGATTAAATTAAAAATAAAATCTATTGCTCTTTGTTTTAAAAAGGGTTATAAAAAATGTTAATAATTATCGATACCAACCGATATGAAACATTATATCGTTGATACATTTTTTAGCTATATCACCCATCCCTATGTTACACTGTAGACATTGTACAATGCCAATTTTGTAGACATCGCCCAACCCTATTTGCATCTCACCTGCAGTCTGGGTTGTGAAAGAGGTCACTGCGGTTTTGCGTTCTCGGCACTCCGGCGGTAGTTCCCAGGCAGTGCGGTGCGGCCTAGCCTCCACTTTAATGTTGTAATGCATGTTGGGTGTGAGGTTACTGAGGCACAGTAAATAGCATCCTGCCTTTACCAGCTCGCACTCCTCATCGTTTAAAGACACAATGTGCACATAGTTACTGTTGCTAGGCAGCCAGGTGAGACTGGCTGAGGTAGCCGTGACGCGTTCAACGTATGCAATTTACGAAATTATATTTGATTTATATATGTTAATTTAGACGTTATGCACTTTTTTTATAGACAGTTGTTATTTCATTGCATTGAATAAACAATTTAATGCGCTGCATTATTTAGCTCATTGCGCCCTCGAGAGACAAGACAAAAGTTTCCTTAAGACTTATTTAATCTGCATATAAAACATAAGAAAGGAGATATTTGTTTACATTTTATTTTGTGTTTGACTGTTAAAACAAAAAATATATATTTGTTGTCTTAATAAATTGGGTAAATTAAAAATACAGTGATTAAATTAAAAATAAAATCTATTGCTCTTTGTTTTAAAAAGGGTTATAAAAAATGTTAATAATTATCGATACCAACCGATATGAAACATTATATCGTTGATACATTTTTTAGCTATATCACCCATCCCTATGTTACACTGTAGACATTGTACAATGCCAATTTTGTAGACATCGCCCAACCCTATTTGCATCTCACCTGCAGTCTGGGTTGTGAAAGAGGTCACTGCGGTTTTGCGTTCTCGGCACTCCAGCGGTAGTTCCCAGGCTGTGCGGTGCGGCCTGGCCTCCACTTTAACGTTGTAATGCATGTTGGGTGTGAGGTTGCTGAGGCACAGTGAATAGCATCCCGCCTTTACCAGCTCACACTCCTCGTCGTTTAAAGACACAATGTGCACATAGTTACTGTTTTCTATATACTGGTCTCATTTAAGTGCAGCAATTCTCTCTTTTTTTTTTTTTTTAAAGAATAATAAAAAATTATTAAAATGGTAAAAAAAAAATTTCAAAATTGTAATAAACTCACCCTCGTAAAAGCCATCATCATCCATGTCTCCATAGACGTAAATGTACTCTCCTGCTGTGAGGGGCAACTCGACCTCTGGGTTATCATTAGGACCATCATAGGGATTGTAACTGCATTTAGAAAATAAAACAAGCCTCCATTTAAAGTCTGTTACTTGATCGATGTTAAGATACTCTCCCAGTTTAATATGCAGAGACAACTGTATCATTCAAGTAAACCATTCACAGGTTGATTTTCTCCACGACACTGCATGGCAGTTTAGCACATGCTGTAAGCTCGTAAGCAGAAATCAATAAATTAAGTTAAATGCTGTTTACCTGTACCGTGCGATGAAGACCTGGAGTTTCGCTGCTCCTTTACTGACTGAATACGGTGCCGGAGAAACATCAATATCCAGCTCCTCAACTTCACTAGCAGTGTCCACCTGAAACACACACATCAACACACACATATTGAACACATAGGATAGTAAAATCAATAGGCTGAAAAACTTTTAATGAAAAGGATAAACACTTTCCAGATGTTTTGTTGTTGCATTTGTAATCAAACTATAGTATGATTCTAATTAAAAAGATGTCTGCATTAGCTCTCTGTGTTTGACGGTCGGTGAGCGTTCGGGACGTGACAGTTCAGCTGCGTGTGGAGTGGAGCCCGTCCGCAAAGCCGCAGCCACATCTAACATGCAACGATTGCAGAGAAATACAACTTAAAATAATGCTGATCATAAATTTTAGATGATATTGAGTTGTCTGGGGTGTGTCCTAAGGATGCACCGATATATCGGCCAATACTCAGTATCGGCTGATAAAAGCAATTATCAGAACTATCATCCATTGGCCGATTGTTAAAATACAGCCAATGATCAGAGCCAATTATATCATGACAAACAGTTACAGTTCAAAACTTGTGAAGAAAATGATTCCTGTGTCAAATTCAAAGCTGTTGAAGTTAACGCAATAAAAATGCATTAACTTTCTGTTTGACCCTATGAACCACCCGTAGTTCAAGCCAGGGTTGCCAGATCCACCAAATATTATTTGAATATGCCTTCCAACCAATGATTGCAAAGAGCTTTGAGCTTTGTTACTTCTGATAAGAAATAAAGTCTCGGCTCTCACATAATTTCCATTTTATCACAAAATTCAACAATAAATGCTGTTTTGACGTTCTTAAATGTGGCAGATATGATTATTTCAGTTCAAGAGGCAGCGCAGCGCGTGAGTCTCTTACACTTTAATACATGTTATAGCACAAAATATACATGAATGAACATCAGAAGGTGTTAAAAGTTAAAGTACAACTTACCAAAATGTTTCATGTCTCATATACATTACATTTATATTTAGTCATTTAGCAGATACTTTTATCCAAAGCGACTTACAAATGAGGACAATGGAAGCAAACAAAAGAGCAATGATACGCAAGTGCTATAACAAGTCCCAGTTAGCTTAACGCCGTACACATAGCAAGGTTTTTTTTGTTAATTATATAATTAATAAAAAGAAAACAGATAGATAGAATAGAATTTTAATAGAGAGTGCTAGAGTTAGAGGGTCAAATAAAGATGGAAGAGATGTGCTTTTAGCCGATTCTTGAAGATGGCTAAGGACTCAGCTTCTCGGATTGAGTAGGGCAGGTCATTTTACCAGCAGGGAACATTTAATGTAAAAGTCTGTGAAAGTGATTTTGTGCCTCTTTGGGATGAACAATAAAGCGGCGTTCACTTGCAGAACGCAAGCTTCTAGAGGCACATAAGTCTGAAGTAATGAATTTAGATAAAGGGGTGCAGAGCCAGTGGTGGTTTTGTAGGCAAATATTAGTGCCTTGAATTTTATTTCATATAATCACTCAATCAGTGTTTGAACAGAAAGAAAGACATCAAATAAAACAGCTTGTGAGTGATATGTCACTTAACGTTGAATTTACCTCAGTAAAGTTATCCAGTGTTCACAGTTCATTAGTTAGCTATAAAAACACTAGAGGGAAATCTGTCATAAAGACACATTGCAATTGCATTGTATACAAATGTTTTTATTTGATTGGGATTATTATATATTAAAATATATAGCACTGAATATAATAGTTTTGTTGTTCATTTTAACCTATAATATTATGTACCAAATGAGAAGGATCTCTGTATATTTTACAGCCTTAATTGGGAGAGATTTATATATCGGCATATATATAATTCTGAATAATCGGTTATCGGTATCGGCTGGGAAATTTCGTATCGGTGCATCCCTAGTATGCCCTCAATGAGACAAACATGCATGTGTGTGCACAGATGTGGGATAATGCTTTGAGCTGCGGTTTACATGTATGTGTTCATGTGTCTAGTCGACCCCTGTGATCTACAGGTTAGAATCAGGGCTGATTAAGTGAAAACCATCTGCTTGCATAAAGGTCACGACCCCCGTCACTGAGACTCCAGTAGAAATCATTCTTTGACCTTCATCTCCTCCCTCTGCTCACATTCATGCATTGTTTGCCTGCTATAAAATGTCATTTGCATTGAGCATTTTCATCTGCAGCTTTAACAGAATTCATTATATTGCAGAGGATTCATTACAAAAAGCAAATAAAAACACAAAAATGCATAGCAGAAACTAAAAAGTGCATGTTAACATTTAAACATGCTGTTATTTGTGTGCTAAACATAATAATGCATCCAGACCTGCAGCAAAAGATCAGGACTATGTTCAGAATGGAGTACTTACAGCAAACAGCGCAGTACATACTGCATTCAGTTCTACTGTGTAAAAGTAGTACATGAAGCACACAGTGGACAGATGCAGTATGTGTTTAATTTAGTTAGTAATTAGTAATGATCAATTATCATCTTAGAAATATTCACAGTTACTTTACATTCGAATCCAATTCAATGCAAAAACGTCACTTTTGGCAGTCTGATTAAATAATGAGTCAAAATGTCACAAATGACAGCTGATATTACTTCAGTTCATTAGTTGAGTGAATTGCATTGTGTGATGAATTGCTCTTTTGTATGCTGCTAATTTTTTAAAAAGTAGATCCTTCAGGAATTTCATGTGCATGAAAATGTTCATTGTGTATTTACACTACCAGTTATACGTTTGGAATAATTAGTTAATTTTTTTATATAAAAAAATACAGAAAAACAGTAATGTTGTGAAATGTATTCGTGTGACAAGAAAGCTGAATTTTTAGCAACCATTAGTTACTGCTCGGCTATTACTATTAATGGTTCTTATTACTATCAATGTTAAAAACAGTTTTTGCTGCTTAATATGTGTGGAAACAGTGAAACATTTTTTTCAGGATTGTATAATGAATATAATGTTCAAACGGACAGTATTATTTTACATATTCAGCAAGGATGCATTAAAGTGATCTAAAGACATTTAAAATGTTTATAATTCAGCTTTGACCAAAGGAATAAATTACATTGTACAATATATTCACATAGAAAATAGTTATTTTAAATTGTAATAATATTTCAGTTTTTACTGTATTTTTGATCAAATAAATGCAGCCTTTGTGAGACTTTTTTCAAAAACATTAAAAAAAATTTTTTTTTTATTATTACAAACTTTTGGCCAGAAGTGTATGTATAAATAAGCATTACAGCAAAAATAATAAGTAATGTAATAAGTAATATACTTGTAAACAATTGTGAACATAGTCAAGCAGCAGCTGTCATTAAACACAGATCACCATGGTGAATTCTGATTGGTCCATCAGAATAAAGCAACCAATCATATCCTCACAAAGCTGAGAAACATGCAATGTGCTACCAATTGCATAAGTGATCACATAACAAAAACCAAACCAAACCTATGTTAACAAGATGAGATCTGCAAACAGTATGACCATCAACACATAGAACATCAACTAAATAAAGCGCTTTATGTTATGGTTCAGGTTAGGGGTGGGCGTTACGATCGACTGGTTTCTCACGCTATATATTGTCATATCGCCCAGCTCTAGCTCAGGACTGCACATATTAAACTCTTCATGGATGTGACCACTGCCTCCCACTGCTCACTACACCGTCACACTCCATGTGTTATTCATGCAGGCGGACACGTGACGTCACAGCCTAGAACCAAACTGAATTCAATAGTACCAAGCTCAGAGGTGTCACAGAGGGCTTCATTACCCTCCAAACTCCAGAACGCGATGTCTTCCCATGAGGCATTTGTGCCTGGAAAAAGAGAGGATAATGCAGACGCAATCCACTTATGCATCTCAGACACTCATTCTTAGGCTGTGCTCCGAAACCTAGTGAGCTGCCAACCTAGACAGCATAATAAAGCATCATAGGTGTGACCCGACACAAAAGCTGGTCCAAAACATACTACTGTATGTTACCTTAAAAGACAGCTTGTTTTGGCCTAATTCTATGGCAACATACTATAGTGTGTACAGAAACCCAGAATGCATTATGACAGAAAAAATCAAGAGAAATCTATAATCATTAAGGGTGCACAACCATTCAAAAGTTTGGGGTCGGTAAGATTTTAAAATGTTTTTAAAAAGGAGTCTTTTCTGCTCACCAAGGCTGCATTTATTTGATTAAAAATACAGCAAAAGCTATAATATCGTGAAATATTACAGTTTAAAATAACTGTTTTCTATTGTATGCTGTGATTTTCATTTGTGATTTTCATCTGTGATCATTACTCCAGTCTACAGTGTCACATGATCTTCAGAAATCATTCTAAGATGCTGATTTGCTGCTCGAGAAACATTTCTGATTATTATCAGTGTTGAAAACAGTTGCGCTGCTGAATATTTTTTGTGGAAACACTGATACATTTATTTTTTCAGTATTCTCTAATGAATAGAAAATATAAAAGAACAGCATACATTTAAAACAGAAATCTTTTGTAACATTATAAAAGTTTTTACTGTCCCTTTTGATCAATTTAATGCATCCTTGCTGAATAAAAGTATTTATTAAAAAAAAAAATCATACTGGCCCCAAACTTATACCCTATATTAAGTATTGAATATAATATATATATATATATATAAAAATATATATATATTTAATTTTAATTAAAAAAAGTAATGTTTTGCTGTATATTTTTATTAGTGTAATGAGCATGAGCATTATTAGCTTAGAAACTAATGATAATGTCAAACTCCACTGGAATCAACTGTTGAGTCTCTGTGCACTTCACATATAAAAGTGTTGCTGAGTGTTTCAAATCATTCACATAACTAGCTGCATTTCATTTAGGATGCTGAAACTGATGCCTGTGTAGACAGCGAGCTCATTAGGCTTTAGGCTACTGTTTTATCTTCTATCAGTGGACCAATGCACATAACCAAACTCTGTAAACAATCACAACCAACACCAACACAAATGTGGATTGAGGATGCCGATGGCCGATATAATTTAATTTATTTTCATTTATATTTAAGAAATTTTAAATAATTTGAAAATGGATTAAAAATAATTGTATAAAATAATCATACTTATACTTTAGAAGACAAAGCATTTCTCACAAATAAATAAATATTTAATAAAAATCTAATTATAAAGGAAGTAAACACTGTAACCAACAGGGCACTCAGTATTCTGGGAAGTTTGTGTGCATTAGAAATCTTTTTTCTTTTTTTTTTCAAATAAAGCCAAGGTAACACTCATTTTACATACAGCACGCAATGAAAATGACATGAATATGACAGCGAGCAAATGCATAAAGCACAGCATAATTTGAAATCACTAGTTTAAAGTTTGTCGATCGCGCGTTTCCAGTCAAGCAGAACGCTCCTCCTATCAGCATTCAATTCACACGGACCGACCGTCACCCAGAGAACACGCAATCATGCAGGATACAAATGCACACTTCACAAGATCTGAACTAGATTCGACTAAGTCTGCAAGGTTTGTGAAATTAAATGTTCATTAGTCATTCAAAGATATGTTTAAATGATATAAATGCGTATTTGCTGAATGCTGATGGCAAATGAGAAAGTATTATAATGTTTGCCTTTCTATTACTAATAATATAAAGCAATCGTTATAATACTTTTTATATACATTTTAATTCCTTTGTTTAACAGTTAACAAACTTTGTTTATCTGATTATTAGATAGAGTTCTATCCATATTAGACAGAACTGAACGACGACACTGCTCACATTCTCCCTCTTGTTCGCTACAAGGCACTGGCGTTCACTCAGCGCCGTCAAAATAAAAGTCCCGCCTCGAACACATCGGCTAACCAGAAAAACGTATCGACCGATGCCGGTATTTGAAAAATGCCAAATATCGGCCGATATATCGGCCTTGGCGAAATATCGGTCGACCACTAGCCTCGACCCAAACAAATCAGCGGCAAAATAAATCAACGACACTGCAAATCTTGATTTAATGCAAAATCCTTCATTTAAATCTGAAAGAACACATCTGTTATGGGTCGTGTAATGATCGGTATTTTAGTCTCACCGGACAGGCCGACCCCATTGGTCAGCTGGGTCAGGCTGGGGCCCGACAGGTCGATATTTGAGGCCTGAACCCTGAATTTGTCCAGTTCCTGTGACAGCATCCCGAACTGCTCGCTCTGACTGCGGCATTTCTCCTCCAGCTCACGAACTTTTGCCTACACACAGGGACGACATTAATATGCAGATATTGCTTAATATTCATGAGGTGCATTAATACGTTAAACGTATCAGCTTGTCTGATGAAGAAATGCAGATGCTATTAGTCAGTCAAAGCAATGAGTGATGCACAAGTGAGATTAGCCAATCAGAGCATGTGATGATGCGATGAAGATGACATCTACAAATTATAGATTAATCATCTAAACGAAAATATCCAACTCAGAAGTCAATCTGAGCTATCACTTATTTTGGTTTTCAAGACATTTTTGTGAACTTCAGGATATTAATCTCAGTGGAAAGTGCTCTTAACAATCATTAAATTTGAACAAATCGTTAAAGAAAACATCTTACAGAGGTGCAAATCAGGGGGAAAAAATCTATAACTACATACTCACTTATACGTTTACTGATAAATATTACTTATCATCCAACAGATGAAAATTGCAAGTCTGAAGTTTATGGCGAAGTTTTGTTGTCTGTTCAATCATTAACCATAATCACTAATTATTTTGGAACATTTTAATATGTTATTGTTTGTGTTACTGAAAGCTAAAACCTATAAAATCATAAAAACCTGGTGTGTAGGTTTTCTTGATAACAATAATAATACTATATATAATATTAATGATATATATATATACACAATATGCACAGTCTTGCGAGTTGCTTTTTTATGAAAGCATCATTGCAAGACGGTAAAGGTTCATAAACAAAGAAACATTTTATTTAAATGTATAATTCAAATCTTAAGTCTGATCAGTAACATCACATCCCTCCTCAAAATGTTAATGAAACTTAAAACCTAGAAAATCATAAAAACCTAGTGTGTAGATAATATTAATACATTACGTCAGCTGTAATAATATGAAACATGCAAAGTCTTTGTAAAAAAGCATTTTGCAAGACATATACATATATACATATACATACATGTATATATATGTATGTATGTATTTATGTATGTGTGTGTATATAATTTATCATCCAACAGGTGAAAATTGTAAGTTTGAGGGATAATATCAATTAAAGAAAATGACTCACTGAAGTTTATTCCTTATTGTTTGGAGTTTGTTCAAATCACAAACAATAAGTGCTAATTATATATGCAGGCTATTTTAATAGTTCTTACATATGTTAAGATTTGGGTTACTGAAAAAAATCATAAAAACCTGGTGTGTAGCTTTTCTAGATAACTACATCAACACACTGAGTCTGCTATAATCACCACATGATATATGCACAGTCTTTATAAAAAAGCATCTTGCAACACAATAAAGCTTCATAAATAAAGCAGTAAAATAGAGGTAAACAGGACAAAGGAAAGGGGTTAAAGCCATTTTGCTGAGTGTAAAACACAAACATGTAGTAAAAGTATTAAAAACTTGAGTGTTTGTGAGAGTACGGTGAGCTAGTTTCACTTCCGGCTCTGTGGTTCAGTTTCCTGGCACACTGAGAGCACAAGGCTCACACACACACACACACACACACACACACACACACACACACACACTCACACTCACACTCACACTCACACTCACACTCACACTCACTTGCCGACTGTCACTTGTTCAGTCGATTCTCAAACTATAAAAATAAAGAGGTTCCTGTAAAACTCTCACCTCAAAAGTCTGTGTGTCACATTTAACTTTAAGACATTACATAGAAAATAGTCAGCAAATTGCATTTGCATATTGCAACACAAAAAGCTGATCAGCACCAACTAATAAAACTACACTTTTAGGAGTGTTTCTGTTGTCCCTGTTGCACTTGAGTGCTAAAACCTCGTCTAGCTGAGAAAACCTAAAACAGCTTGCACAAACCACACACACAAGCTCTAGAAACTAAAGCAAAAAAAAAAGGGGGTTTTGGGCCACATGCATGTGTTTTGAGCGGGTCTGATACCTGCATGCAGTCCAGTGTATTCTGGTTAGCGGCCACAAAACACAAAGTATAGGACAGAAAGAGAGAGAGGAAACATCATGCATGTCAAAAGCAGTCAGAGCAGATATTAGATTAGATGATTAAACGCTGCAGTCCACGACCTGTTGAACTGCATCACTGTTGAATGCATCTAAAACCTCAAGACTCAAAATACACAAAAACTGAGAGTATTAAATTATTTTTCAGTTTTGAGGTACTAGAGTGAATACTATATTTTTCTAGATCAAATGCAAGGACAGTCAAGCAAGAAATCTGGGTAGCACACGCTCAAAATCAAGGGTTTGATTCCCACTGATACTGATAAAATGTAAAGGTCAAATGCAAAATGAGTTACTTTGGAAAAAGTAAAGCAAATTATTGCTTTGAACACCATATTCAAGAGCTCTCTAAGCACTCTTAATGCTCATTCAAACCTTGTTGAATTAATTATTTAATTAAACAATTTATTTGTTGCATATTGTTTTTTTTTTGTTTTTTTTAACAATTATTTAATTTGATTAAAATGTAAATAGATGTTTTGGCAATATTGTATGTAAAACAACTCAAAGTACTTTTAAAAAAAATCACAAAATGGACTAGTAGCTAAACAGAGCCCTCTGCAGGTTGCACATACAATCATCAGTGATGCAGTTTAGTGAGAGAAACAGGAAATGCAACACATCAAACAGGAAGTACACACGCTGTACTCTACCAGCTCTCTGTGCAATACGAGCTGCACCAGATCCTGAGAAAGACACAACTCAGTTAAACAACACACAAATACACAGTCATTAAAACCCCAAGCATCATAAACACAGACATTTTCTATCATCCACTCATCCCAGCTCTTTAGTTAATGCAATTTAAATGGTTAATTTAACAAGAAACTGTCATAACAAAAACTAAAGCAAAGCAATGAGATGCAAAACTCACCTCCAGCATCTGCACGACACCTTCATGTTCTCTTTTAGCAAATAACTGAGCCTGTGGAAGCAGAGCACAATCTTTAAGACAAAATCACACATATAATTATCTCATTCATGAATTTGCATTCAGGAATACGAAGCACCAACATTAGACTTATTCCTATATAAATTCCCATTAAAAACAGAATTAATATGATAATAACACTGTGCAACTGACCCGCTGGAGTCGCTTGATTTCATCCTGTTTGAACGTGAGGATAGCCAGTGCCTGCTCATGCTCCAATTCCAGCTGCTGCCTGCGCTCGGCGACCTCTCGCATGTGCTGCCATTGCATACACACACGACACAAATATACAAACCCATTACACACCTAATGCAATGTCAACATGTTGAGAAACGGACTGAACGTGAGCTTTTTACCTTTAGGACCTGCTCTAGGTTCTCCAGCTTTGCACGGAGTCGCTGGTTCTCCTCCAGAACTGAACTATACTGAGCGTTCAAAACACAGAGCTGTTCCTTTAGCTCCTCATTTTCAGCCTGCGACTACAGAAACACAGAGTTTACACTGACCTTTAACGCCCAGAGGGAGCATAAACACACCATCACTTGCCCAGCAATGGACGCTCTGCAGTGAATGGGTGCCGTCAGAATGAGAGTCCAAACAGCTGATAAAAACATCACAATAATCCACACCACTCCAGTCCATCAGTTAATGTCTTGAGAAATCAAAAGCTGCTTTTTTGTAAGAAACAAACCCATCATTAAGATGTTTTGACCTTAAACCGTCGCTTCCGGCTAAAATACATAGTCCATTATAACGCGTCCTCCGGTGAAAAAGTCCATCTCCTGTTGTCTCTCACATCAAAATCCTGCCATATATTTGTTTAGAACCGTTTTGGACTGTTTTGGCTTGTAAACGCTGCTTGATCTGTGCAGATTTCTCTCCTGATTCAGATTAGATGACTTTTTCACTGGAGAAAGCAGTATTATGGATAGAGGACTTGAAGTTAAAAACATCTCAATGATGGATTTGTCTCTGCTTTTGTCTTCTCAAGACGTTAACTGATGGACTGGAGTGGTGTGGATTACTTGTGGATTATTGTGATTTTTTTTTGCTGAGACACTGATGCAATGCTACATTCCTCCAAATCTGGTGAAGAAACAAACTCATCCACATCTTGGATGGCTTGGATTGAACTTCATTTTTTTAATTTGACAATGTTTCACCTGGTCGAGCAGCTGAGCCTTTCTCCTGAGGAGTTCTGCCTCCTCCACTAAGTGCTCATTTCTGCTGTGCTTGTCCACTAGCTGGTTCTCCTGTGAACACACACACACACACACACACACACACACAAACACACACACACACAGTTTTCACAGAGCTGTTCCTTTAGCTCCTCATTTTCAGCCTGCGACTACAGAAACACAGAGTTTACACTGACCTTTAACGCCCAGAGGGAGCATAAACACACCATCACTTGCCCAGCAATGGACGCTCTGCAGTGAATGGGTGCCGTCAGAATGAGAGTCCAAACAGCTGATAAAAACATCACAATAATCCACACCACTCCAGTCCATCAGTTAATGTCTTGAGAAATCAAAAGCTGCTTTTTTGTAAGAAACAAACCCATCATTAAGATGTTTTGACCTTAAACCGTCGCTTCCGGCTAAAATACATAGTCCATTATAACGCGTCCTCCGGTGAAAAAGTCCATCTCCTGTTGTCTCTCACATCAAAATCCTGCCATATATTTGTTTAGAACCGTTTTGGACTGTTTTGGCTTGTAAACGCTGCTTGATCTGTGCAGATTTCTCTCCTGATTCAGATTAGATGACTTTTTCACTGGAGAAAGCAGTATTATGGATAGAGGACTTGAAGTTAAAAACATCTCAATGATGGATTTGTCTCTGCTTTTGTCTTCTCAAGACGTTAACTGATGGACTGGAGTGGTGTGGATTACTTGTGGATTATTGTGATTTTTTTTTGCTGAGACACTGATGCAATGCTACATTCCTCCAAATCTGGTGAAGAAACAAACTCATCCACATCTTGGATGGCTTGGATTGAACTTCATTTTTTTAATTTGACAATGTTTCACCTGGTCGAGCAGCTGAGCCTTTCTCCTGAGGAGTTCTGCCTCCTCCACTAAGTGCTCATTTCTGCTGTGCTTGTCCACTAGCTGGTTCTCCTGTGAACACACACACACACACACACACACACACACAAACACACACACACACAGTTTTTCAGCCTGACATGCAGGAGACATGCACGGTAAGCATTACAATATGACAAAACACTCACCAAATCAAGACATCGTTTCTGTCTCTTCCGCACCTCATGCTCAAGAACTTCACATTCTTTCCTCTTCTCGCCCAACTCACTTTCCTGCAGAAACATCAAAGAACATGTTCAGAAACATGGATATATTCATCAAATTGAAAAGAAGACCTCATGACTTTTGCAGTCATTCATAATTACTGATTAAGGAAAAAATGTATTATTATAATAATTATAATAATCATTTTTTAATAATTCAGAGAAGAACAATATATATATTTAATATTTTACAGCTGAACAACACTAGAACAATTCTATATCTACTAAGGGATTTTCAATGTTAAACATTATTTTACAAAAACTTTAATGTCTTAAATAATACATAACTATTTACATTAATTAATTATTATTAATCATTAAATGATTAACTAGTGTAACAGGCTCAATGTCAGAGAATTTACTTTTTTGGCATTTACTTTCATTCATTCAGCATTTTATCCAACATAAGCAATTTGTCACAGTGCCAAAAATAAACAATAATGAACATATTTAATAAATACATTTGTAATAAATAATAAATATCAATGTACTAAACAATAAATAATAATAATAATAATGGTAATGGTAATAATAATAGTAAAGACTGCAAGTTTGAAAGACGAATTTAAAATAAAATTAGAAAACTGACAATTTAGCAATTTCTAAAATATAAAACTTAATATTTCACAGCTGAAAAAATCTAGAAAAATTCTAGATCCATTTAGGTTTTTAAGGATTTTTGAAGACTCCCAAAACTTTTCCAGAGTTTTGCACGGTGCATATTTATTTGTCCCAGACACATTTTCATATATTTGTCACAGGCTCCCATAATTCAGGTATTTTGGAATTTTTTTAGGGTGGTTTGTTACTTAAAGTGCAAAATATGTGCAAATAAAAAGAGCATTTGGTGTCAGTGTGAATGTACATACACACACACACACACACACACATACACACACACATACACATATCTGTGATCATGTGACTCTTACCAGCAACTGAAGATGCTCTTCTGTGGTCTGCTCTTCCTGGTGGGTGGAGCCTGTGCCCTGCTCGTGCTTCACTTGCGTCTCTGACTCCTCCCCCTCTGCAGGAGTCTCCTCCCCCTTAACAGGGGCCTCATCTACTACTGTGGGCGGGGTTTCAAACGCAACCTGAAAAAACAAACGCTTATAAACTGTAACCACACATGCAGCAGCAGAGGGTCACGAATGCTTTACCATATGATAGTGTATATGCTAATGACAACAAGCTACTGAGTAAAACTCAAAGAAATATTTCACTCAAAAAGACTAAATCAAATTTTGCATTAAAAAATTTAAGTAAATTTCTTTAAATCAAAAATATCTAATTCTCATAATAGAGAAATTAAAATCATCCTTTTCAGATTCAATGACATTTTTGTATTAAAACCAGGAAAGAATAAATCAATGAAACAAACACTGCCATGATGAATATTTACAATTGTACACTATAAAAAAGATTTTTGTAAATAAAATAAAGATTATTAACATACATGTTTATGAGAAAATACTATTTCAGTTTTTCAACTTCAAAATGTCATGTCTAATTCAATGTGTTGTTTGCCAATTCTTTATCATTGTGTGTGAAATTAACCAGCAATTTCTGAAATTTGCTAGTATTTCAGTAAAATTTAAGTAAAAATGGTTTCTACCATTCTTTCACAATAGTGAGAATGAGATTGTTTCACATTACAGTACATAATTCTGTAATAATTCAGGGACGAGCTGTCAAATTCTTCATGAAAATAATTACAAAGCATAAAATCTTAATGGTCTTAAAGTCAACATGAAATGTGATATGCAATCCTTTTTACTTAAAGAAAGAAATGTAATAAAAACAAGGACATTTCTTGCTATCGATTACCAGTTATCGAGAGATTCACACTTTACCTAGTTTACCTTTAGCTAGTTTAGTTGAAAGCACCAGTCATGGGAGAAGTTGACATTTGGTCACAGCTCGTCTTTACTCAGCGGGTTAAGGATCAAATGCCTTAGTGGCTAATTTTAGTGACCATACCTACTTATGCTCAAAGTGGAACTATTCCACTGCGGCCAAAGCCACGACCCGGTAACAGGATCAAACAGCCAACGCAGCACAAGCGGACGAGAAGCCGTTCGTCAGCATTCACTCATTAACATCACACACACTCTCACTTACTGGCCAACAGACCAAACTTCAGCAGCTATACAAGTCACATTCTACCAAGAGAGATCCATAATGAGAGGAATATTTAGATTTTATCACACTATAATGATTCAGCGCTGCAGTCGGCTTCAGGAAGTTCAAATCCCATTCATGCTCACCAAAGAGAAACTGAATTAATCAAGCTTAAACCTTTCAAAGAAAACCTACCATGGTATAAGCGATTGAAATCAAACCAGTGGCTTAATGTTTTAAATGCATGTTTATTTCGCTATGAAATATTGTTATTTTGCTTATTATAGCCCTGCATCTTGAGAAAAATAAAATCTGCTGATTTGCAAAAAAAAGCAAATGATGACAAATTTGATGATGCTGAGTTCAGAAATATAAATAAGTATTTTTTTTTCACAAAATAAGAACGAATATTTTTCGAATTATTATATTTTTATTTTTGTTATTTATTTTAGCTTTAATGCTTTTATCAAAAAAAAAAAAAGAGGCACATTTTTCAGTTTTAATGATAAAAATAAGCATTCATAATGTATTATTTTACTAAGAATCTGCAAAGGAGTGGGGAAAATGTTCAAATACTCAAATATTTTTTTAAAAATTTTTCACAAAATCTGTCATTTTCTGTGGCTATGTGGATGCATCTGGATCATGTTTGCATTTTCTCGGACTGAAAATGGGCTGACAACTGAGCAAATAGTTATAATCTGGCTCAGATTCAGACAGGAATCTTGTCTTTGTGATGTCTTTTAAGAAATGAGCATTGGATTTCATTCAATTGCACAAATGTCGACAATTTAGCAAATCTGCCAGAAGACAATATTCGGGTAACATTTAAAGCTTTATATGAAGCACGTTATATATATATATATACACATAAATAACTGTAACCAAAATTAAAATGCATTTGAAGGTTTGTTTGACATGCGTTTAAATGCGTTATACTTTCTAAAGGTGTAAAAATAAATAGGTAAGCATTATAATGTATTATAACTGTGGTTAAAATTATTCATGAGATTATATAATTCATCATAAGGTGCATTACAAGGCATAATTAAAGCATTAATATACTTTTATAAGGCATTATATATAAAGGCTTTAAGTAAAGTGCTACCAATATTCCTTATATACCTAATCAGATCATGTTGATGTCTGATGAAGGTCATGAAGTTGGCTGAAATGTTTATAATCACTATTTATAGTCAAGCCACATTTATTTCTATAGCGCTTTATACAATACAGATTGTTTCAAAGCAGCTTCACAGTGATAAATAAGAAAACAACATTATTAATGTTCTTCAACTATGAAACAAATATGATTTCTGCTGTAAGGACAACAGTACTATTATTCAGATCAATTTAGTTCAATGAAGAAATATAAAGAAAGCAAAATCTATGTCTGTACAGTGAGTGCTGCACTTTTCTTCTAAAGTTTAAGATCTGACCTCTTGATTGAGCATCTGCCTTTTTGTTTTTGTCATTTGAACTTTATAATGCATGAAATCATCTGATGTTTAAAGGAAAGGAGTAAAAGCGCAGGAGTGGCATCAAGCCAGTTGACCAGGCTCACACTCCAGTGTCCCTGAAACACCCGTATAATGACAGATTTGTGCGTGCACTTTTAATTACACTGTCAGACACACGCAACTGCAATATTTAACAGATGGGAAATGCTGGGTGGAGGTTCAAAAGCACATCTTTAAGGGACAGTTCACCCAAAAATGTAAATTCTGTCATCATTTGCTCATCATGTTTTCCAAACCTGGATAGATTCTGCTGAAAACAGAAGAAGAAATTTTGAAGAATGTGTGTAACCAAACTAGGGATACAACGATACCTTTTTTTCAGAACCGATACCAAAAATTCTGAGTATCATCTGATTCCAATCCGATACCGATATCCGATTTTTTAAATCAATGTAGAATTTCTATACTTCTGTGTGTTGACCTGATCATCCCTCTTTTGTGTGTTAAACACAATCTACTAAATACAGACAACTTCATTTGAATGAAAATTAACAAATGAAAAAATATATAATCATAATCTATGACAAAAAAATACTATTATAAAATAGGTTAGTGGATAATTCAGCAGCAAAAGTTATTCTAGAAAAATCATGGGTGCACAATCATTTTATAAAAACATTAAACTAAACTAAACATTTAGTGAAACAACATTATTTAATGGGGAACAAATAAAAGTTAATAAGTGTAGGACTAAATCTGGTAAAATGTTACACATTGCTCTTTGTATTGTTGTAAAATACATTCATGAAAAACAAGTAGCCTATATATATATATATATATATATATATATATATATATACATATATAATATATACTATAAAATTTAAAAGACATTTCTTTTAAATGCATAGCACAGTAATGAAGACAGCAACATATGATAGATAGAACAGAACAAAAAAGACTATTAATAATCTTTCATTCAGTATAATACGAAAGGGTATGGCTCCAATAAAACACACAAAGTGCTTATGTGCATCCCTTGTGCAGAATGACGCCGGTTTCACACTAGCAGAGCAGAGGCAGCGCAGAAGCAGCTGAACCGCGGCTTGTGTACTGCAAATACAGATGAGTATCGTTCATTCGGCCACGCTTTTCAGGTGTTCTCCGACAACTGTCTGTCATGTGCTTTGGTTTATGCTATGGGCAGCATACTCTGCTGTGACGCGGCCATGTTCTCCTCTGTCCCACACACGTGCATATAACATGATGTATATAGGTAGTTTACATGATAAAAAGTAATCTTAAAGTTTATTAATGCCTCTAGTTTTAATCATTTAAACAGGCCTTTGAAGTTTGGGCAGTAACTCCTGGCAGTGATGTGTTTTCTTGTAGTTGATTCTGTGCTAACTTGATCTAATATTTGATGTTTTTTAAAATGTTGTAGATTTAAGTAGCAAAACAAAATCGCAAAAATTATTGAATATATTTTGAGGAAAGGCTCTTCTTAATGATTCCCAGTTTTGTTTAAGATAATTGAAGCAACAGTTTTTCAATAATTTTTAACAATAATTTAAAAGTATGGTATTTGGGGTAAAAAGCGCTCCTGCTGTTAGGTATAAAGGCACAATAATTGGCTGACTTTTCCATTTGTTGACATGACATGGTTGTCAGATGGTAAATATCATTATGTTGGGTGTCAATCTTAGAGGTAATCACCATGTTTATAATGAAACCGTCATATTTAAAAACATGACAGCTCTTGAAGAGAGTTTAATCGTTTTGACTGTAATAACTGAACACGACACGCAGTTTGTATGCTGAATGGAGGATGACAGACTGACGCAGCGGGGAGAAGAGTTTACGTCAACTTGACTTAAATATTCATCTATACTTCACTTTCAAATATGGAACGACTTCAGAACACTTAAAATATAGTGCACGGAAACTTGATGGCGCTTTATAATGTTTTTGTGCCTTTTGTGGGGCTTAACAATAAGACAGAATAGTATACGCACAACATCGGATTTGGATCGGTCTCGTCTGACAGATACCCCGATCCGACAAAAAATGCCAGTATCGGAGCCGATACCGATCCTGAGTATCGGATCGATGCATCCCTAAACCAAACAGCTGATGGTCTCCATTGACCAACAATTGTTTGGTTCCCAAAACATCTTCGTTTATGTTCAACTGAAAAAAAAAAAAAACTTGTACAGGTTTTGAACAACTTGAGGGTAAATGATTACAACATTTTATTTTTGGCTGAACTATCTCTCAGAGTACATTAATTAAAGATCATACATTAAAATACACTAATCAAAAATTAAACAAAGTACATTAAGGCGATGGCTTTGTATGACAAGTTTTCTGAAATGTTATGTTTAAATATGTTTCATTTTGTTGACAGAGTTAAAAGTTTCTATAGGGGATTTTCTTGTTATCACTTCATAAATCAGCAAATACTGTCAACAGTCAGAAATTAATACATTTTCACCATGTTTTTTGAAATAAAATGTTTAAAATGTTTCAGGTTAATGACATATGACAACATATGAATAATATATAGATGGGAATAAAGCTGGTATATGCAAATGCTGCTGACGTGGAGAAAAACTCATGGCCTTTAAAAAGGAACTGAAATCTACAGCTGCAAAAAGATAAAGTGTAATAAAATTAAAGCTTAAATGTGTATTTTTGATATTTTGTTTTCACTCGTCTAAAAGAAGACATGCTACAGAAGCAAAATAGCTTTACATTTGACTAGTGCATGGAAAACAACCAATGATTTGCTTGTAGCATCTTGCCTTGAATAGCTGATGTATGAACGATTCTCATGAACACTGCATTGAAGTTATGAACAGGTCTGTGTTTATGTGCACGTCTGTGTTCATATGATCCTGAAAAGACACCAAACACAACAGTGATAATGGATGTACACAGAGCAACTTATAACTAATATCAATGTTTCAAAATTTTAAACTGGCACCTTGTTTTTCTCCTAGCCATTAACTACAACATGCTAATTGCTATTGCTAGTCACTGACAGGTCGAATTATGGAGAGGTCAACAAGTGAGCAATTTATAGGACAAAAACTTGTACTGAACAAGATGTTCAATATTTTCCATTTTCCTATGTTTAAATGTGCATATCGGAAAAAAGTTTGTCAACACTAGCATATTAGCTGTAAAGCTAACATGCACAAAACTCCCATTCTGATTATCTGCACAGACAAACAGTTATGAGAGTATATTCTTCTTTATTCTAAATTAAATGCAAAACTAACCCTCAAATTACAGACTTTATGGGTTAAACTACTTTATACGGAGTCCTCATGCACAGGCCTGCTCGCGGCTTAAGCTAACACTTGCTCATCATCCTATTCAGCCGCACCTTTAAGACTGAAAACTCAGTCAAATAAACTGATCCGAAACAAACTCTTTGGTTTAAGCCTTATTTTATTTGCGTTAAGGCTGTTCGACCCCATACGCCGGCCTCCGTTCGCTATAAGCACATTGCTGTAATCCCCGTGGACTACTGAAACGGGTAACTAGATCACTTCTTTAAAAAGCACCTTAATGGATTGGCCTGCCTGCCGCTGGTTTGCTTTTATAGCACATGCATTAAATGCATTGACTGTCTTCAGGCATTTTGCTACTGCAATCTGTTTGCATATTCAAACTGTCACGTCTGGCAGAGCTGAATTGTTGTAAAACACCAAAATTTTGTTATGCATCATCCAAACTAGGCCTAAAAGTGCTTCTTCTGTAGCTATTCTTTCATGCACAATTATGCACATACTTCATGCATGCAAAGACACAACTGTGCAAGCGAGTTCTGAGAAGCTGGAAGGGCCGTAATCGGACGCCAGCACTCGTCTGCTGATGAGGACAGGTGAGTGTTATAATCGCTCCTGCACTGACGCCACGCGCACACACACACTCTTCAATCTCATATAACACATGCATGTTACATCATTACAGCATTCATGCAATTATCACGGCTACAGGATGCATTCTTCTCTGCAACAGCTTAAAGTATGAACACGTCACTACAGGTAAAAGTGACCTACCCCTGTCCTGTGAGTCGATGGAAAGCAAAGAGTCTGCGTTTGGGACGGCTGCGGGAATCTTTGGTTCGCTTTGGGCTGAAGTCGTACCTACCATCCAAAACCCTCTCAACGCTACCACGGCAACAGCCAGAGGATTATGGGACTGTACCATTCTGCTGTCAAAGGGGATTAGAGCGCACACAACATGGCCCCTTTATTTCTATGTGTGTGTGTGGAAATGACCAGATTACCCTGTACCGCCATTCTCATCCAAGCTTTACAGAGACGGTGAGGACAGCTGAGATTGAAACTTCAAATGGTCAGTAAAGTGAGTGCAACATAGACTAGCAGTCAAAAGTTTGGCCGTTTCACTAACTAACCTCAAGCATTTAGGTAGAAGCCTTTTGCACACATACAGTATGCACACAATGTACATATTGATGAGAAAGACTGATGCAATCAACCTGATTTAGACTTAAAGGAATAGTTCACCCAAAAATGAAACTTTGCTGAACATTTACTCACCCTCAGGCCATGCAAGATGTAGACGAGTTTCTTTCTTAATCAGATTTGGTGAAATGTAGCATTCCATCACTTGCTCACCAGTGGTTTCTCCGCAGTGAATGGGTGCCGTCAGAATGAGAGTCTAAAAAGCTGATAAAAACATCACAATAATCCACAAGTATGTTTTTAGGAAACAAATCCATCAGTTAGACTTATTAACTTCAAATCATTGCTTCTGGTCAAAATATGAGTCCATATCTCCTGTTGTTTCGCACATCAAAAACCTGCCATATATTTGTTTAGAGCTGTTTTGGCTTGTAAACAGTGCTTGATCTGTGCAGATTTCTCTCCTGAATCAGACCAGAACTTTTTTATGGATTATGGACTCATATTTTAGCTGAAGGCAGCGGTTTGAAGTTAAAAACGTCATGATGGATTTGTTTTTTCCAAACACTCTGCTTTTGTCTTCTCAAGATGTTAACTGATGGACTGGAGTGCTGTGGATTACTTGTGGATCATTGTGATGTTTTTATCAGCTGTTTGGACTCTCATTCTGACGGCACCCATTCACTGCAGAGGATCCATTGCTGAGCAAGTGATGGAATGCTACATTTCTCCAAATCTGATCTGATCTTGGATGGCCTGAGGGTGAGCACATTTTCACCCATTTTTGGATGAACTATTCCTTTAAAGGTGATCATTTTTGCAACACTGGAAAAACCAAAACTGGATAAACAGTCATAAATTTGGCTAATTAAACATGTCTACTGCACCTGCTCCACCCCCGACTGCCATAAACAGATGTCAGTCCTAGCCCAAACTCACGTCACTGGTTGAGTGAGAGTTGAGTATTAAATTGGTATATGGGAAAGCATTTTCACACGCACGCACGCACACACACACACACACACACACACACAGGTTTCAGTATACAGAGTTGCTCATTAGCTAGTATTACAGATTATGGTGTAGTCCATTACATAAGAGCAGAAACAACATTCATTTGAGTGTAAACACAAAATAAGCCCTGAAAACCTCCACAGGAACAGACACATCATAACACACACACACACACACACAATATAATCCGACTCCTGACCGGCTGCTTTCACAGAGGAAACGTCTCGGTTCAGGAAGAATCCTCTAGAAACATCGTTTATATCAATGACACTTCAGAGAGCAGAGAAGCGGCCGAGCAATAACAGCATTACAACAGTTCACCAGTGGACTGAGAGGATTACGCTACACTGGTCAGTATGATGCAGGCCAGCGCTTTTCAACTGGTTTTGCTTCACAAGAATCCCGACCCAGATTTTACACAAGGTGACCGACCACTAAAGAGACTAATTACTGTAGAAAATTTAATAAAAATGTCCTTAAATTTAAACCAAGAACAACAGTACAGAAAATATTTTATATTTTGAAATACAAGTAGTCAGAAATATTTAGCACTCCATTAAAAAAAGAAAATATGATATCTATTTTGACTCAAACTAAAACGCAATAAACTAAACTAAACTCATTTTCTAAAATAAACTACACAAAATTAAACAAAAATTCCCTTAACATCAAACCAAGAACTGCACATTTAAAAGAATAATATGTATATTGAGGGCTGAATAGGGAAATTTAAAATTTGACCATAAAACCATAAAAAAAAGATTCTTGAAATAAAATAAACAATGAAATACAATTAAAAAAAACTATAAATGAGAAAATATTTATTTAAATAAATAAAAATAGATATAATTTTTTATTTAAATATGTTTCTGTTTGTCATTTTCGTGTAATTTAACTTGATGTACTAAAATAACAAACTAAAACAAAAATAGGTTAAATAGGCATTTAAAAAAATCTCAAAAACACAACAAAATCACTAAAACTGCAGATAAAATTAAAATAAAAATGCAAAATACACAAATAAAAACTACTCCAAAATATTAATAAAAAACACAACATCTCAATAATACTAAAATAACACTGCCATTGGCCCATTTAAATAATTCATATTTTTAGCTAAATAAGGAATAAATAATATGTTAATAAATGATAAGCATTCCTGTGTTGCATCAGAGATGCTGATGTTTTTGCTCAGTGTTGGGAAACATGGGCGTGTTTTTGCTCTCACCCTGCTGTCTCGGTCCTGATTCTCTGAAGGGTTTTGTGCCGTCACACTGCTCTGGTCTCTGGTGGAGGTGACAGACAGCTGCCTCTGCAGACGCAACACCTCCTTCTGAGACTCCTTCAGGAGACGCTCAAACTCACTGACTGCCACAGGACCCTGAGAGAGAGACGTGATCAATCATCTCAATGACATTCACAGCTTTAGGAGCAGTTCACATAAATGGTCCTGCAGTGACACAAATGAATTTCTGTGCCAGGTTTAGACTTCAAAGCAGTACTAAAAGCATGTGTTCAGTAAATGCTGACTATGTGCAGTATACGACATCCCCAGCAGGTGGCAACAGAAGTCATAATAATGAAAATGCATGAGGGAACTGAGAACTGAAATATATGAGCAGCTGCACAGAAATCATGTTATAAATTTAGTAATTATTACAATCAAGTTGGTCAGATATTTTAAGTTCTTGATTAAAAAAAACTAAATGAGATCAAAATCAAATAAAATGATTCTGATGCAAAATAAAAAATAAATAAATGCCAAAATGAAAAATAAAATAAAATAAAATAAAACATAAGACTATGGCGGACTAAAATTCTGAACTAGATTTTTTAAAAATAGGAACAACAGACCAGGGGCCAGTTGCATAAACATAGATACTATGTTAAGACGGATGTCAAGAGATAATCAGTCTCACGTTTCTGATTAAAATTGGGCCAATTTACATTCTAACATTGTGAAAAACTTGCCTGCCCTTAATGAATCCATTTTGGTCTCTGTGTATTATCTTAACCTCCTTGCTAAAATTTTACTCAGTATTTTAACATCTGTATTAAGTAATGAAATTGGTCAAAATTATTTACATTTTGTACTTATTTTATTAGGCTTAGGTATTAGCGTAATGAGAGCGTGTTTTAAACATCATTCGCAAATGATTCTTTAAACATATCTAAAATGGGTCTGGCAAGTTTTATTTTTAATTTCTTGTAAAAATCTACATTAAGGCCATCTGGTCCCGGTGTTCGACCTGCTGTTAAACTGTCAATGGCCTCTGCAATTTCTTCTTCTGTTATGTCCATGTCTAGAGACATTTTTATCTCTTCAGATATAGTATAAATTACTATAGAATCATAAGAACTATCAGTAATATATGGCGTAAGCGTTGCAGAAATAAGAAAGCAATAAATTCTAGAACAAGACTGGTGTGTTCTGGAGAAGCAAGAATCCTGGATATCCTTAGGGTGTAATTGTCTCCATATTTCAACAAGGTTTAACTCCTGTATAAAATAATACAGGGTCTTTCTAGTCTGATTGTGGGACTGATTAAGGCCAGATGAACGATCTCTAATTGGATCCAAAGTGCAGTTGAAATCCCCTCCCATCACATGAAACCCAGAAAAGGTGGATAAAGTTAGAAAGAGGTTACTATAAAATTTGGGGACTTCGTCGTTAGGGCCATAAACATTAACAAGATTCAGTGGTTTAGTTAATAATGCCCCCTGAACAATTAGGTATCTACCTCAAGGATCCTGTATTATCTAATCCATCTGAAATGGAATTGATTTAGGGAAAAGACTAAGGGAAAAGAACCGTACGATGAATTGCATCGCACTTGAGCCCCTATTGATTTTTTCTATAGTATATACAGTGGGTACGGAAAGTATTCAGACCCCCTTAAATGTTTCACTCTTTGTTATATTGCAGCCATTTGCTAAAATCATTTAAGTAAATTTTTTTTCCTCATTAATGTACACACATCACTCCATATTGACAGAAAAACACAGAATTGTTGACATTTTTGCAGATTTATTAAAAAAGAAAAACTGAAATATCACATGGTCCTAAGTATTCAGACCCTTTGCTTTAGCAAATGGCTGCAATAAATAAAAGAGTGAAAAATTTAAGGGGGTCTGAATACTTTCCGTACCCACTGTATATTCTTGAAAGTGAACAAAGAAGTGAGAAAACAGCACCAGCTTACATGCTCATTAGAAAGTCGTTAACTTCTGATGGACTTTGAAAGACGTGAGCATGGCCATCAACGGTCACTCGGAGGCGCGCTGGAAAGATGAATCCATACATCAGTCCCTTAGCTCGCAGCTTCTTCTTCACTTCGTCGAACTGCCTCCATTGCTTGTTTACTTCAGCAGAAAGGTCCGGAAAGAACATGATTCGGTGATTTTGGAACAGTACATCTTTCCTTGCTCTGGCCCTCGCATCACGTGCTCCTTGTCTCTGTAGTCCAAGAACTTCACAATCATCGCTCTCAGGGTAGACTTTGCGTCCGCTGCAGTCTTTCGCATATAACTGATCCTGTGGGCCCTCTCTATGGCCAGTGGCTTCCGCAGTGGGTCCATGTCCAGCGCTTCAGGTAACCAGCTTTCTAAGAATGTACATGCATCGTTGCCCTCGGATTTTTCTGGTAAACCTAGGAGCCTCAAATTGGAGCGTCGGCTGCGATTTTCCAAAACATCTATTTTCCAGGTAAGTGCAGTAATTTTCTTTTCATGAGCGTTGGTCGTTTATTGAAGTGTGGAGACGGAAACTTCGGTCTGAGAAATGCGTTTTTCTGTCTGCGTTAATCTTCCGCAACACTCTGCAACTTGATTTTTGATATCTTGTACAGTTGAAAGGACAGTTTCGAACTGAGAGGCCATGTCGACTTTCGTCATATTTATTGCTTGATGATACCACTTGTAGTAGCGTGTAAGCCGCCAGCTTGATCTCCACAAACCGGCGATGAGTGTAACTCACGCCACCTCTTCCATGCTTTTGGAGTCGGATGTAACTTCTGTAGTTTCTACTTTTTTCGGCTTTTGCTTTGCTGGTTTAGGTGACATCTTAAACAGTATTCACTTATAAACAAACTGAGTCGAAACGCTGAATGAAACTGGGATATATTTAGAAAATTTAGAAAGGCGGTATAACTCGATGGCTAACTTTTTAAGACTAGTCTAAGCCGTTTATGCAACCGGCCCAAGATCTGATACAAATCAGTAATTCTTTAAGCAACAGTACTAGTGATGCTGGACTTGGCAACACCACTTATTAAAGAAGCTGTATGTTTTCAGTGAGGGAGATGTGCTGGTGTGTGTTTGTGTACCTTCCCCTGTCCCGGCCGTGTCTCCAGCTGTCTGCACTCCTGCTGCAGCGCTGCAATCTGTTTGTCTTTACACAGTAGTGTGTCTGCGTGCTGTGCCAGGTCTCTGGCTCTCTGACGGGCAAACGCACGCTTGTACTGCTCCACAGCGCCCGCTTTCACCGGCATCGGAGTATTTACCTGGAAACAGCAGGAGTTCATATAGAAATCATCTACAACAACTACAATCAGTGTTATGAATGACTGCAGCTGTCAATCACAGCATTCCACCAATCAGAAAGGACACGTATACAAGTGTTATAACATTTAAACTTGGGGAGGAAGCTAAAATAGTTATAATTTTAGTAATACTTTTAGTTATAGTTATCTTTATCTTTAGTTATAATTCTTGGTGTGAATGTTTCCACATTTTTATTTTTTTAAAATAAATTTTTCATTAAAAAAAATTAAATAATAAAGTTTATAAAAACACAGCAAAAATATATAAAGCTAAATTAATTTAATAATAATAATAATAATAATAATAATAATATATTTTTAACTGCAAATAACAATAAAACAAGATAAACTTTAGTATAATATAATAAAGTCAAGTTGACTTGCACTGTAAAATGTTTGGAGAAAATTGATACAATACTCCTCTGGAGACACTTTAAAACATATCTAAGTATATTAATATCTTAATTATTTAAAACAACACAAACTAAAAGACAGAATCAGCTGAACTAGGAACAAAGGGCATGTGTGAGAGAGAGACAGGACTGACACAAGCGCGTACCAGGTGTTGTGCTGTGAGCGTCAGTCATTACCCATGAGCACCTGGAAGCTGACAGGTGGACTAGAGTTACAGTGTACCAGGCATACAGAGAGGTGAAGGGCGAGGATTCGCTGTCTTTATGTCCAAACTCTTTCATACACACACACACACGCGCACACACACACACGTCATCATTCACTCCTCTACTGCAGTATTGTGTGTAGTTTCGTCTTGTCTTATGTAACCAGTATTGTTGCTCTACATCAAAAGCTCAAAGTCATTGTAAAACAGAAGCTTGTTTAAGTACAGATCTGTAATGTATTTAACTAGTCACAGTCATTCAGGACAAATTCAAAAGCAAGAAAAGTCAATAAAAGCTCAATCTGTGCTTTGGTTTTTTATATTCGAGACAAAAGAGAGCACTGAATGAGCCATGAGTGTGTTTGATTAGTAAACACTGGACGGGTTGGTCAGGTCAACTGCTCTATTTCGTATTGTTGACTTCAAAAGATGCGAAATGACAGGATTCAATATCCACCAAAGACAAAAGGGCAGATAATACCAAATTCAAAAATCCAGTAATAAACTTAATGAATAGTTCCATCAAAAACATATTTTGCAATCATTTGCCCATCGTCTATCGCATTAAAAGTATAAAATGAAAAACCTAAAAGATTGACTGTACTTTTGCATTGATGACTGAAATGCATTTTAGGCAAAACACAACAGGTGTATAAGGGCAAAAAATGTACTAACAATTAGGGCTGCCCTCGACTAAGGATTTTTCTGGTCGACTAGTAGCCGTTCATTTTAAGCATTAGTCAACTAATCGCATGTTTATTAATAAACCATTTAAATCATTATAATGAGCCTTTAATTGCCTCCATAGCCTAATAAGCACTCAAGCGCACATAAAGCTAGCCACAGCACACCGGCAGAAGTAATGATTATGAACGTGTCAGGGAAAAACAGTAAGGAGACTGCATTAACATTTTAATAATTTGATAAACTAGTGCTTTCTTTGTTTTCGGTTTAAGAGATGAAGTCGGCGACACTGACACTGACTCGTCATCTCCACAGTAGTGATGCGCCTGTGTGCATGTTTCATATGGATTACATAATTTGAGAATATTTGTTTTACATTTGAATTGGTTCATTTGAAAGTAGACATTTCACTCTCTCTAGGTATATTTTTAATGTCTGTAAGGCAAAGATATACACAGAGTTTCGCGCTCAAGTTCACAGAGACCGAGACGGCAGAAAGCGCATCCTGTTTGCTTTCATTATTTTACAAAAGCGCGTTTTGTTGTTACAGTGAGTGCACAAAAACATTACATTTTGTGGACATATTAGAGTTAAAGGGTTTTACAGGGATGATTTTAGATTTCTCTTTTTATCACTCCATCAATCAGAAAATACTGTTTAAAAATACATTTTTACCATGTTTTTAGGACAAAATATGTTACATAAATCAGTGGAAATGACATATGAACTCTTTAAAACCCTTCAGAATACAGATAGGAATAGAACTGTAAAGTTTGGTCTAAGTGCTGAAATGGAGAGAAACATCTTTAAAGATATGTATTGGAATTAGGGCTGCACGATAAATCGCATGCGATTGTCAGTAAAGCAGGTTCTGTGATTAGTAGTAAATCTCCATCATGTGCTTTCAGACGGAGCGGCATTTAATACACAGAGCCATAGATCACTGACAAGCTACGCAATATCGCGTTCATAATCGCAGATGAGTCGCCTTCGATTATGAACACGATATTGCGTAGCTATGTATTAAATGCCGCTCCATCTGAAAGCACGTGATGGAGATTTACTACTAATCACAGAACCGGCTTTACTGACGAGATGCGCATGACAATCACATGCGATTTATCATGCAGCCCTCATTGGAATTGAAATCTAAAGATGCAAATACATAAGGTGTAATGAAATAAACACTTTGTGCATTTTGAATGTTTTCTTTCCACTAGTCTGAAAGAAGACGTGTTACAGAAGCAAAATAGCCTCAAAATTTACCCGTGCATGAAAAAAACAACAGTTTTGCCTGAAGTGTTTCACTTAAAATGCTAAAACGCATGCTGTGGTGCATCAACTCCAGACACTAAATCATGTGTGACCCTGGACCACAAAACCAGTCATAAGGGTCAATTTCCTGAAATTGAGATTTATACATAACCTGAAAGCTGATAATAAAATAAGCTTTCCATTGACGTATGGTTTGTTAGGATAGGACAATATTTGGCCGAGATACAACTATTTGAATATCTGGAATCTGATCCAATCCAAATATTGAGAAAATCGCCTTTAAAGTTGTCCAAATGAAGTTATTAGCAATGCATGTTACTAATCAAACATTAAGTTTAAATATGTTTATGGTAGGATATGTACAAAATATCTTCATGGAACATGATCTTTACTTAATATCCTAATGATTTTTGGCATAAAAGAAAAATTTTTAAGTAATTCATTTAAAAAATTTTATGTCTATAGTTTTTGTATCAATGTCTATTTTTTAGTTTTAGCTATTGTAGTACTTATGTGGAACTAAACAAAATGAAATGTGAAATGTTTTAAATATATATTAAATTTGTTTCAAGTAAAAAAACGGTTTCAGTTAAAAAGTAAAAACTATGGGTATAAAAATTGTAAAAATGTTCCAATACAATTTCTAAATTTTCAATGAATATACTGGACAAAAAAAACATCACTTAAAATACAAATGCAAATAAATTTCACACATGTGGCCGATCAGTGGAGATATTTGAACACTCAGATGATCTTGACACGTTTCAGAAAGGCGGGACATAGAGGAGAAACAATAATGCACAGTATGTGGAAAATAATGTGCTTTTTGAACCTTAAACCACAAACACATTTCATTACACCAAATAATGTTCTTTTTAGCAGCATCATATGACCCCTTTAAAAGGGTGTTTTTAGGTACTAAACCAAGTGGAAAACACTTTAATTGTGGTAAATCAGCATACGACAGCCACGATGCTGGTCTTTAGTTAATGGTTTCAGCTTGAACCCAATAAATATGGTTTTAAAATAATTCAGAAACTAATGTGAAATCATCATACATTTTACAAAAATGTCAGAAATGTGCACACAGTATCCTTCCTGTGATGCAAAGAGCAGAAAATACAGAAAAACAAAGTAATAAACCACTCAAGGCCTGCATTCAGTGATTTTACCATAGTAAAGGTTTTTTTTTTTTGTATTAAACCAAATGGACAACACTTTAATTGTGGTAATTCTGTATACAGCAGCTCTCTAATTAACAGATTCAGTCTCTCCACTGAAAAACCCACTACATATGAAAACTCATATGAAACTATCAGAAATTTGACTAAAACGTCAGAAATGCTCCTCCCTCTTTGCTTTTTTCTCTCATCTTGTAGGACTGACCATCCGCCCGCTGGCGAATCTGAAGGGTGACAGCTTTGATTTCAGCAGAGCGTGTGTGTTTTGTGCATGTCATGCCAGCTGGAACTGGTGTCCTTTCAGGGTGGAGGGTGTTTTCACTGAATATAAAGCCACACAGCGATGTTTAGCCTCAATGTGAGAAGTAAATACAGAGGACTGGGACATATTGTACACAGCATACATGACTTTAGCAATGCAATGCAATTCAATGCTTTCTGTTAAAGAAATTAATCTATTTATTCAGCAAGGACACTTTCCTTTCATTTGATCTGAAATGACAGTAAAGACATTTCTAATGTCACAAAAGATTTCTATTTCAAAAAAATACTGTTCTTTTGAACTTTTTATTCATATTAAAAACAAAAACGTATCACAGTTTCCACAACAATATTCGGCAGCATAACTGTTTTTTTAACATTGATAATAATCAGAAATGTTTTTCGAGCAGCAGATCAGCATATTAGAATGATTTCTGAAGATCATGTGACACTGAAGACTGGAGTAATGATGCTGAAAATACAGCTGCGCATCACAGATATAAATAACACTTTCCAATATATTCACATAGAAAACAGCTATTTTAAATTGTAATAATATATATATATTTTTTTTTTACTATATTCTTGATAAAATAAATGCAACCTTGGTGAGCAGAAGAGATTTCTTTAAAAAAACAAAAATAATTAAACCGACCCCAAACCTTTGAACGGTAGAGTATAATAAACTTTAATAATAGTAGGCTAAATAATACAATATATACACAACATTTTAATTTAAATTGTGTAAGTATTACGCACACAAAATCACACTAGGCAGAACCACTTCTGAGTTAATGGATAATTCGAGTTTGTCTTATTTTATCATCACTGAAAGCAAAATGCACATCACAAAGCATTACAGTGCTCCAATTACAATCAACTTCACTCTAAGTTGATGCCTTTGCAATATACACACAGCTTCACAGATAATCTGAT